GAGTTGCATTGCCTTTTTTTTTTTTTTTTTAAAGGCAGTTGTAAATTCTGGTATATTGTTGCTGCACTTAAGTATAGAGTTTCTAAAAGCAATGCCTGAAAGCTTGGGGGTAGGGCAAAGGAGGGAAAGGACAGTACTGGAAAAAATGGGAAGATCCATTCCTTCAAAGCCAGACTCTATACTAGAATATGTTTAACCTCCAGTATTTTGATTTTTTTTTGACTTTGATGAAGAATCTAATATCATTTTAATACACACATAATGTGTTTTCATCCCAAATCTGTACTTTCATATGCTGATTTGACTGTAAATCTGCATTTTCACTTCACATAAAGGAAATGTCTTCCTAAGTTGAAACACCTGTAACCTGTTTATCTGTGAATTATATTAAATGATAAATTATAAATTACATAAAAATATACTCCATATAAGCATATTAATTATAAATGGAAATGCCTCAATTTTTCATTGTTCAAAAGAAGTAAAGCAAAGCAAAATCAAATTTTGTTGATGTCCTTCTAGACACAAAGGAGTGGAGATAGGATACTCAGCTTCTTTTCACTGTTATTTTTTTACTATATCTTTGAAATATCAAGGCTGCAAGATTCTCCATTCTGCCATTTTAGTGGATAACCTTGACAAGAGATTAGTAAGGTGACTAGTGCTGTCACATGAGACTATTTCTCAGCCTCCATTGTCATCATCACAAATGATAAGGGGGGAGTTGTATTTTGTATGTGTAATGGTTCTCTGAAGTTTGAGTAGGGAAAATTCAGATTAAAAAAACAGCATATATGAATATTTTCTGTCAAATTAATTCTGTAATTGTGATCCTTCAGCGTAGTTGCATTTTGTATAATTAATAATAATCAGCAGAAATCAAAGATGTGGAAAAAACACATGTCCTTTCCCACTTTGGTCTCTTCTAGAGTAAGATTTAAAGCTGTATGTTACTTGTGACAGCTAAATCCTGAACTGGACAAGGTCATAGAGATGACCTCTTTACCTGGGGTAAAAACTACATCAAATTACCTTATCTAATGTATCTCTTTCAGTTTTGGTGTGGGATGCGTCCAACTGGAAGGAAGGAAGGCCTAATAAGTAAAAAGGATGGAGGGGTCATGAAATAACAGATAATCTAAATCTCCAAATTATATATACTTTATAAATGTCATTTTAATTTAACTCGTTTAATAGCACTGTAGCTGAGTGAATGTTATATTCAGGGTGAATATTGGCAGTTAGCAAGGGACTGCTGTGGCTGTAATCCTTGCTTGCCCAGCCTGCCTCTTCTTCTTGAAGAAAATTGAACACATGCTTGCATGTCAGCCAAGAGTTGTGATTTGCCTCCACATCAAGTTTGCTTGCTGGATTTTGCTCTGGACTAGTGCAGGTTTTGCCAGTCTATTTCTGGGGCAATAGTGCTTTTATCCATCACAGTGGTTTGTGAGGTGAAGGTGTGTCAAGGCCTTAACTTTGTATGTCAGTGAAATACGGAACATCAAGGATTGCTTTTGAGGGAAAGTGGATAGCTGATTTGCATGACATGCCTAGAGAAACAGAAGCTTTCCTTTATATGTAGCTGATAATTCTCATAAAGTTAATTATGGAATCCATTATCCAGTTATGAAACTTAATTTTACACAACTTTTTGTTGTATTCTTTATTTTTCCAAACATGCTGTTCCAAGTAATGGAATAACACCAGCTAGTGTTAATTTTGATCTTGACATCTATTTCCTTTGTTTTTTTTTATTTCTGTCACACTGTGCTGCATGACTCTCATTGCAGACTTCACGCTCCCACTTCCTATGATATTTGTTGTAAACAAATGGGATTATAGATCAGGTGGCAGTCTGTAACAAGGATGCTCACTGGTTAGAATGCTAGTCAGAATTAGCTTTAGTGTTTCATTGTCAAGATGGAGGAATGTTAAAGTGACTTCTGTAAGATCTGTTTTGAGTCTGATATTTGTAAATATTCAGTCATACAAGTCATTACTGAAATTTAGAGCAAGTGATGTTTTTGCAGAAGGTGTCAAGTGGGGAGGGGCTGCAAGCATTTTAGAGATTAAAATTCGGGATTTTCTTGACAAGTTGAAGAAATGAGTTGACATAAGATGCAGTTTAAAATGAAAACAGCACGGATCTACACTAGGTAAAGCAATCAGCTGCACAGATAAAAGCTGAGGAGATGGACTATATAAACAGAATGGAGCCTGCAAAATCTGTGGATTGATCATTGTTCTCTGAAGCTTTACCAGTACAAAATATGGGCAGAGAAATATTACTGGGGTGCTAGGACTGGGAGACCCACTTCTGATTGCAGATTGAAAAGGACTGCAAGAGTAATGGAAATGATTAGAGGTGTAGGAGGAAAGATTAAAAGTACTAGATATGCTTTAAAATAAAGAAAAGGAAAAAAAAAAACAGGGAGACCTGATTTGAGTTTGGAAACATGTAGAAGGGTGTTATGTATGGTTGTACCCATGGAAGGGGGTTATGTATGGTTGTGCCCATGGAAGGTAATGCTGTTCTTTAAATCCACTGTGAATAGAATTGGAAATAATGTTCTAGAATTGCAGCAAAGGAGCTATGGGTAAGAAAAAAAATGAAGTAAAGATAGCAGAGCTGTAGGGTGGAGTATATAGGTGCTATGTAAATTATGTATCACTGGTGGGTTTTTTTGTTTGTTTTTGATGGGACAAAACAGATGTCTGTGAAGAATCCTCGAGTTTAATGAATCCTTCCATATAAGCATGGGGTGGACTACAGCAGTCTCCTGAAAACCTTTATAGCTTACTTATATATCTTTATAGTATACTTATGCTTCCTTCTCTGCTAAGGATGTTAGTGCTGTATGTTGTACTGGATGAAAAGCTGTATACTAAAGTGGTAGATTGACTCCACGCAGTTTACTCTACAGTCCTATGGTGATTTATGGTTGAGAGGGAAAAAAAAAAAGGAATCAAGCAACGGATTGATTTTTAGAGGCAAATAGTGGTATTTGCTTGTGATATAAGTGTCAAGACAGAAATGACATGTTTCCTGAGCAGACGCTTGCAGATATTGTTTATTTTATCTTTTGCTGCTAAGCAGTAGGAAAGTTAAGTGTCGTAATTGAATATTCTGATATGATTCAGTGTCAGAGTTTAAATACAACAGTGACCACCTATCCTAATCCATTTTATTATATTTTAGTTCTTCCAGTTGACTTCCGGGGTTTTTCAAGTGTGTAAGTTCAAGATGTTAAAGTATGAGGCAGTTTTTCAATATTTATTTTCGAAATTGTCTCTGACCTCATTTATTACAGAGTGTGGAGTTACAGAAGGGATGGAAGCAGTAACTTGAGGTCATCTGTCTTAGCAGGCAACATTGAATCAAATCAGCTATTGCATTGTCTAGCCAAATCTTGAAAACCTCTAAGGGTTAAGATACCACCACTCTGGGTGCCCTATTTCAGTGCTGCTGAAACCTCTTCTGCTGCCCTCCTAGTGAAGATTTCCCTTCTATCTATTCTGATCCTCTTCTGACCCCATTAGATCCATTACTAGAACATCTGCTTTATAATCATTACTGAATTTACCTTCAGAAGTGCTTCTGATAATAGTATTGCTGTTTCACAGATGAGGGCTTGAACTCTGGTTGTGAGCATTTATGGTTTTGCTAGTAATGACATCTGAGATGCAAAAATTTACCACTTAAAATACACCCATTAAAAAAGGCATCACTTTTGGAGAATCCTGTACAGATGCAGAGAATTTTCTCTACAAGTTGAACAGTCCATTTAGTATGGCTAAGCATGGCTCTTACTGCATTTGAAATTGAGATTAAAAATGGCTTACTTAGAGGCATATGATGAATTAATGAAAGACTTAAGAACAGAATTTAAGGAATCCCAATTCCCTGTTCTTTCAGGGTATACTACTTTAAAACAAAATTACTTTACCAGTAGTTTAGGACATTCCAACCTCTAGTTCCACAAAATGAGATGTGTACAATTAATGGATAGTTGCCAAGAGCGATTTAATCAATCTGATTTATCATCCTTAAGAGCTCCTCAATGAATGTAGTTTCTCTTGAGCTTTGCTGTCATTAAAGGAATAATATGTAGCTGCTTTCCTTTTCTGCAGTCTTCTTAAGCCTTCTGATTCTACCAGTAATACAAATAATTTCATATAAATACAAGTGTGAGAAAATACAATCCTCAATTCACTTTTTTTTTCTTACTCCATCCCTACGTTCTGTAGCCTGTACAAGGGAAACTAGAAAATAATACTTATCATTAATATATGTTCAGTTCAGTTTGTGTTGCAGTACTAGCAGGTTTCTCCTACTTTTGTTTTAGCCTTTGGACTTCTGTCAGTCTTCAGCTAAAAGATTCTCATAGGGTAAAGAAGCAGAATACTGGATAAGACTGTGGAAAGTAGTTATATACCAGATCCTTTAAAAAAAAAAAAAAAAAAAGGAAACATTCAGACTTTTACTTTATAAGTACTTTAAGACTGTTACTTATCCTGATTCTGTGTCACTAAGAAAGACAGATTTTAAAATGAATTCGAGGAATATAATCAAAATGTGTGTTGTTTGTTTGTTTGTTTGTTTGTTTTGTACTTCAAGAGTTCTTTTCTTCTTAAAGATACTTTGATACAATTAATATAATGATTAAAAATACTAAACAAACAAGGTTGTAAAGATGCAATGTTTCCTGCCCCCTTTCAGAACCCAGAAAATTCCATATATGTCTTCTGCCTAATAAAGTCATGTTGTCTGTAATATACTGCTCATTATCAAGACAGTGCTTTTCCTTGTAGCAGCATACCAAAAAAGCTGTGTGGAAAAACCTTTCCTCATCCATTGTTTCCACATCCATCTGTTGTTTCTGAATTAAAATGAAACAAATCAATTACCTGACAGAGGCTTTGCATACGCTCACATTCTCCTGATTTTATGAATATGTCTTTATTGCTGTTAAAAGCTTTGCCTTTATTTTCTTTTTCAGATGACTACTTTGGGCAACTTGACACCCTCAAGCACTGTGTTTTTCTGTTGTGATATGCAAGAAAGATTCAGACCTGCCATCAAATATTTTGGTGATATCATCAGTGTAGGTCAACGACTGGTATGTTTATTGCTTTTTTGTGGTAGCAGGTATTATCACATAGGTAAAATATTACTTCATACAACAACCAGTTATGAGCTGTTTGGTTTTGAATAGCACTGTGTTTGCTCTTTGTTTTTTTTCACATTTTTTTTTCTTTCTTTTTTCTTACAGCTTCAAGGTGCCCGGCTCTTAGGAATTCCAGTTATTGTGACTGAACAGTATCCCAAAGGTCTTGGCAGCACTGTACAAGAAATTGATTTAACAGGAGCTAAGCTCGTACTACCGAAAACAAAATTTTCAATGGTATTGCCAGAAGTAGAAGCAGCATTAGCAGAGATTCCTGGAGTCCGCAGTGTTGTCTTATTTGGAGTAGAAGTATGTGCCTTGCCATTCTCATACTGTTTGATGATATTATGTCTTGGCTAACAATAACATTAAGCATTGATTTCTTTAATAAATTTATATTGCTCAGATACCTTCTACAGGTTAAATTATTTTTATTGTACTAGTCTCTAAAGTTACTTATAAAATATGAAGTTTGATATTTATGAGACATGCTGTCTCAAATTTGATTGGCATTTACAACTTAAGCAAAAGTTACTAGTGATGTTACGGATGGAAAAATGTTTTAACACTAATTAGTTATCTACTCTAATTTGGGATTGTGCTACTTATGTCTTGTCACTATAGCATGCTCTTGTTGTCATCATGCTCCTCCTCCCTTTTTTCTTGCAGACTCATGTCTGCATCCAGCAAACAGCCCTGGAATTGATTGGCAGAGGTTTGGAGGTTCATATTGTAGCTGATGCCACTTCATCAAGAAGCATGATGGACAGAATGTTTGCTCTTGAGGTAATGTGTCTTAAGAGTCTCCCTATGCTTTGAATGTGTATATTAATTTCCATATCTGTTATAAGCTTAAAAAGCATGTTGTAAGGTTAGTGACAAGTGAACAAACGTAGACTTGAAGAGGTGAATGCTGTGACTAGCTAGCAGTGTAGAGGCAGGTTAATGATTCTTTCCTGCTTAAATAGTGGCTTACTATGTAGAACCTGTTTTGGATTGTTTTATGCAATCTGGGTTATTCTGAACAGTTGCATTCTGTCATCTAAACTTCCTGAAATATAATGGGATATTGCAATTTGTTCAAAGCTCCATCTCAAATGTGTGTTCCACCCTATCTTCCATCTTAATACAAATTAAAGCTTAATCTCCAGAATCTTTAAATATTCCCATGAATTTAGTCTAAATGTTGAAAAAGTAGAGATAAATATAGCAAAAATTAAAAGCGTGTATAACTTTGTGGTGGCAAATTAATGCAATTAATTTTATGATAGTGTATTCTAAATTACCTACAGGCATTGTTGTTGTAAATCAGAAATTGGCCTATACATTAAATACTGCAATTTGGAAATTAAAAACAACAGTAATTGGTAACTAAACTGCTTTCATAGAATCAGAAAAGCTTTAATTTCTTTTGATTCTAGTTAATAGGACAGAGGCTAAAGGAAAGCCACGAGCCCATAGCATTTAATAAAATCCATGACTAAATGGAAGTTTAATGTAGTCTGTTCCATAATGTGTTATGATGTACATGAAGGCCAAGAGTGATTGAAAGCATGAACTTCTCAAGTCAGTGCAGTGTAGAATTAGATAAAGTAAATACAGAAAAACAAAACTGAAAGGTTTACTTTGCTTAGTATGTGTTTGTATGTCTGATGATCACCTATACTCTGCAAACATCAAAACTGGTTTAGAGTTTGAAGTACTAATTATATTTGCTACTAAAGAACTGCCTAGAGAAGGTAAGAGCTGGATGCACTAGGGAGTAGGAGGCCAGGAAAAAAGGGACACATACAAAGACTATTAATGATCCTGTTTGTCCATGGAGATAATTGTTTAAGAAAGTGCGTAAAACATCAAACTATTGGAAAAGTCTGGTTTAGACCAAATGTATAGCTATACTGATGGTTTCTAATCACATTCTTATCATTTGTGTGCTTGGCAATGGCTTTCAGGAACTTACTGCATACATGGTGGACTCAGATAAAGCTCACTGGGCTGTAGTTACCTGGATCCATCTTAAAATTTTCCAAGATTAGTGTAATATTTGTCTGTCTTCCACTAATGGGGATCCTCCTCTGATCACAGTGACCTTTCAAGGTCCTTCAGGGATTATTTATTTATTTATATTTTTATTTATTTTTAACCCAGTTTCTTCCTCAGCATCCCTAAAAACATCCTCCCTATTCCCACTTTTGCACTCAGTTCTCCATATTTTGCTTCAAGTACCATGACTTTAGATGACGGGGAAGTGACTAAAGCATTACAGAAATATGCAAGGGAAAAAGTCAATGATGTTTTTTAGCAAAATCTGATGAACTCCTTCCATGTCTTCAACATTAGACAACATGATTTTCTCAGAACTAATTTAACTTGTGATTGTTGCCGTTCTTTAAATTGTGTATTCCATCTCTCAAATTTGATTTGTGCAAGTGTTCAACAGTCCAGATTTTAGCATCTAGATGTGTCATGGATCTTTGTGCAAATCACTTCAGCTTTCTGTTGCTAACAGAAGTACAAAGTACTATCTTAGCAGTACCATTCTGTGATCTTCATGAAATGTAATAAAATCTTTTTTTTTGTGATGTATGCACTTACTGTGCATGATGCAGAACACATTTTTATGTTCTGTGATAAGCATATTTTATAGTCTTTAAGAAGAATGGACTTTGGAGGTACTTAGACTGAAATGAGATGTGGGTTAAAAGCAGCTGTTGGAATATTATGATACAAAGTCTGTGGAATTCTTCTCTCTCCCTTTTCTGAGATAGTTGACATGAATCTACTGTACAACTATAAAGACCAAAATGCTAGTACATAAGCTCTGAAAAAAAATAAGTTACAATTTTATTTATTGCTTAATACTTTAATCTTGGACTTGGCTTTTTCCTCAGACCTTTTAGATCTCCTACAGGAGAATGAAGAAAGCTATCCTCAAGAGTGTACAGGGAAAAAGGAATGGTAATAGAAGAGGGGGGTGGGTTTTCTGAAAGGTTATGTCTTTAAATCTATTTGGAGAGGGAACCTGTTTTAAATAGGAAGCCAGTTCTGTCATCCAGGACGGCTTTCCCTTGTGCACTGCCTGTGATGTCTTCCTCATTTCCCCTCCTACAGAATACGTCCTATTCAGAATGGGATAGAAGAATTGGTTTCTATCCTAGTTTTATCAATGACATTTGGCAAATGCTGCGGTGGAATGGGTGACAGCTTCATTAATAGGAGACCTTATTTTTAAAACTGATGCCCCCTACCACCCTCCTTTCCCCACCCACTTTGGCATACGCTCATTCACACTTAAAAGAATCTCACTTTTTTTCTCCCCACTCTTTTCTCTTTCAGCGCCTTGCTCGTACTGGAATTATAGTTACTACTAGTGAGGCTATATTGCTGCAGCTGGTAGCTGATAAAGAACATCCAAAATTTAAAGAAATCCAAAATCTCATTAAGGCAAGTGCTCCTGAGTCAGGGCTCCTTTCCAAAGTTTAAAGAAGATGTGATGGAAGAGAATTGTATTGTCTCCTTTAAGGATGAAGGAAAGCTGTAAACGCACATGCACACATTCTTTCACACAAATTCTGTCAGAAATGTAAAACTAAAAGTTGACATATTTGTGCTTGCCTTAGAAAAATTGTTTGGTTATACTTCTCAGTGCCCGTGTATTCTGTTTAGTCACAGCTGTCAAAGGCTATTGATACGTGAGCACCCTTTTGTTGTCAGATTTCCTATTTATTTTGAAAAAGTTGAGAGGTGCCTGCTAGTCTACTCTATACTCACTGATTGTAACAGCTCAAAAAAGTGCATATTTCTGTGAAATTTCTTCATTGTGCACTTTGTAAAATGTAATGTGGTATTATGTTCTACTTCCATATTAGTAGAAGATAACTATGTGTTGGATAAATGTGATGTTACAAGCTCTAATGATCTACACAAATGAAACTATTTTAATAGAGTATAATTTTAAAAGTGAATAAAATATGTGGACAATGTGTGCATTTTTGTTCTCTAAGGTAATGTTTAAATACTTTGCTTGTTCAGTAGACAAGACATACAGATCAAGCAGCAGCTGATGTTTGATTGCCTTAGGTAGCTGAAGTCTGCATCATGATTTTCAATTAAGCTGAACTTCTGACTGCCCAACCATCTCTATTTAACAGTACGTACATATGAAAAAAAATATGCTCTATATATAAAGAACTGGTGTAAAGTCATTCAGTACAAGCGGAAGACTACCAAAGGTTTAAATAAATTGCTAACTCTAAGCAATTAAAGAACAAAGCTCTTCAGCTTTAAATACTGAATCTAATACTATATTTAGGTTTAACTTTCTCATGGTTAGATTTAATAATCTTAATCTGATTCACTTGTATGGCCAAGCAGGCTCTGCAACAAACCTCGGCTTCTTTAGGTATGGCTTCGTGGGCTGCAGTTCAGTGTGTGTTGAATAGAATATGGCTAAAAAGCCTCATTCAGAAAATGAGCATCTGTAACTTGTTGATATATATTTTCTATCCGGAACCAAAATTTTAACACGACTGTTCATAAAGGCACTTTCTTCATGTTCTAGAGGCTTAAAAATGTTGTATAAAGTTTATAGTGCAACTGTGACATTTATTTTTTTAAAAGAATTCTAGAAGATACCATACTGAACACTGATCTCTTTGGTTGAAAACTAAGTACAATACATATATTGTTTTAAATTGCTTGTTTTCCCCACAAGATGGCTCTAAAAGAATTGTTTCAGAGAGTTATAACCTTTATATGTTCAAATCAAATAAAATGTTAACATTCACTGTCTCTCTTAGGCTTGTGATATTTATTGAAAAGCAAATCCCCAAAGCTTTGTTTACCAGAGGCCTTATTCTATTTTTGCAGCTGTGAAATTTCTATAGATGTCATGGGAATTTTGTGTAAAGATCAAGAATGGATAATATCCAATAATTCTTGTCCCCTGTGTCTTGTTATAGTGTCATTTAGTGCTCCAGAATTTTAGGAATTTACATTATGCTTCAAGTTAAAGGCAGGGAGGGGAGTTAAGTTGAAGAACCCTGTTGTCCTATATCACTGACCTACTTTTATCTTCTTTTCTGGTGTATTAATCATGTTGCCTAGCAGTGTAAAGTCCACTTATATAAATGAACAGCTGCACACAAAAATACCATGAATTTCTTATGAAATATTGCTTTTGTGTATGTGTGTGTCAACATTACCTAGTGTTAGTAACAAGAGAAATGCTAACTTTTTAACATTCATTTGTAGAAAAACACTTCCTCAATGTAAATAATTTTGAGATACTTGAGGTACTAGTAAAAAGTTACTGTTTTTATGGAGACATCAGCTAGAGGAGAGATGTCACAAATTGCTTTCCAGGGGCTTTTCCTAGTGTTTATACTGCAGTAAGGATCACTTGGGGAAAAGGTGACACTAGAGAAGAGTTTTCTAAACCAGTTGATATTCTGTGTTGATTGTACTATTCTTTACTTGCCTTTTTGCACAGCTTTCAATTGAAAAGTAGATTTTTTTTAAGGATATCAATTGTATGTTTTTTCATAAGCTTTAAAAACAAGCAAACAAAAAAAAATCCCATTAAAACTGGGCCTTAGATGTGAATCAAAGGTCAGAATGAGTGAAGTCTTTTTCATTTATTAGATATCTGCATTAATCAGTATCACATGGATCACTCAAGTGAGATTTGTAAGGCTGCTTATTTAAAAAGGAAAATCAGAAATTGATGGCCGTATTTAATTTATGGAAAGTAAGTTTATTTCAAGGAGAATGCTCCTTGTTTCCACGTGCTTTTATTCAAATATATTTTCTCCAAGTAGGTCATCTTGTGGAATAGATTATCAAAAATGAGGAGTGTGAGAAGAGTAGTATAGCCCTATCCTGAACAGTATTGCTTACCAACAGCTCTTGTTACTTTCGGTAGAAATTGTGCTCATAATCTCTGAAGATTAACAAAAACCTTTTGCTGGATGTGAATGATGCTTGACTATATATTAACATGAAAACTTAAAAGGAAGAACTAATATTAGTTTTCTAAGTTGATTTTGCTTTTTTCCCTTCTCAACACAGTATCTTGGTAGTTCTTCTCTTTCTATGAAATGGCAAGGCAAACTATTCTACAATTATTTTTAAACAAGCTGTATATTGTTCTTAAAATAAGTTGCATTTATAGTTTTGTCCCACAGGAATAGAAAATATCAATACATATTTTTACATATATTCATTCTGGCAGAGGATAATTCCTTATGGCATACTGATATTATTTTAAGAAATTTAATTCCTTACTGCATAAGTGCCAAACTGTCCTTTATCTGAAGTCTTCATTGCAGTTAGGGATATAAATTAGTTGTTACCTGCTGTAGAATCATTGAATTTCTCTTTCCTGGGCAAAGTGGGAAAATTGTTCTTGATGGGAAAGGCTGATTTATTTTCCTCAGTGGGTGTTCTACTGCAGTTCAGAGCTGCTAGTGTATTAATTCTATTCAAAATACAAGAATTTAAGTATGTGTGAAGGCTATACATGTAAAAGAATGAGGCAAAGGTGATACAGAAGCATAACTTAGAGAAACTAAGTTTAATGGAGGATGCTGCGGCACAAGCCTGTGGCAATGTTCTTATGTTTTTTTTCTTGTTATTTTGTTGTGAGGCTGTGTGTTCTTTGTTGTTTTCTTTTGGACAGTTTAGGTTCTGAATGTGATCCTACCTTGCTTTATTTGCAGAACTGTGATCCTACAATTTTACCTCCTGCATGTTAATTTTGTATGAAGTCACACAACTCAGGTTTTCAGTACCCTTTGGAAAATCTGAAATGGAGGATGAACAGAAAAACAGCTGTTGACAGCAAGTATTCGTTGTGGTCATCACAAAGGGCTAGAGAAACAACACACGACTGCTCAACCATCCTTTGCACTTGTCTGATAGTAGTTCTGAGGAAAATCTGCAGGACAATAAATCATAGTGCTTATTAATTATATTCACCAATAGACATTGAGGTTTTTTTTTTTTTTTTTTTTTCCCTTTTAGTATTTGTTACATTACCAGAAAGAAGACACTAATCTTTCAGGAGGCAAGAATCAAGACCACTGTATTTTTTGTTTTCTAGAAGCCTTCCACATTTTTGCCAAGGTGTTATTGTGAAACTAAAACTATTCTAATGCTGCAGATTTGTTCCTTATGTAAGGGAACAGCACTGAATGTCAGTACTTTGTCACTTTAGAAACCTTATTTCAAAAACTGTAATGTAGTAGCTAGAGTCCTGAATAAAGGAAAAAAATATTAGGGAAAATCAAGGCCTTTTTTTTTGAAAAGAGATTCTAGCTAGTACTGCAGTGTAGCTCACAGATAAATATCATTCTTCAGAGTTTTTTTTATTATTATTAAATGTTAGGGCAGTAAGAGAAGGAGTCAGTGATTTGTAGAATCTGTTTTGCACCTCTGGATAAATTACAGAGGATAAATGATAATAGATGGATATTACAGGTGTCCTTCAGATAGGCTGAGAACATCTGCTCTACAAAAGGGTTATGGCAAGAATTCATTGAAAGAAAACTATTGTATAGTATAGTAGCCAGTTTCTTAGAACTTTTTTTGATCGAAGATAAAAGATCATGAAGCTGATGTTAGACCGTTTGGTAATCTCCAGAACTACTAGTTAGGGTAAAGTTTTCCATAGATTATATTCTGCTTCTTCTCCTAAGGTAGAACTATTTATAAAAATAAATGCTGAAGGTGAGGTCTGTTCTTTTATTGATCATTTGAATTGCACAGCTTTTTCATAGGAGATAAAGGAGTATTTGTGAAGTTCTGCTGTGAATAGATGGAATTTATTAAGTATTAGCATGCTTAGATCAGTATAATTGACTTAGTAACTAACTGCCAGTGTTGGCCGCTCTCCTGCCACTGACAGCATTAGGTTTTGCTTTAATGAAACCCTTTTATCTGCTCAAGAGAAAAGACAGAGCAAACAAGAGAACTGGCAAAATAGATGGTGAAGTGCAAAAGCAATGTATTGGTTTTCTTCCTTCTCTATTTGCTCCTGTAATTTTTCATTGGGATGTGAAAATACTGCAAGACTTAACATACAGAATTGCATATCTAAATTTTGCAAAAACTGCTTAGGTTCCAGAAGTCCTTTCAACTATTTTGACATTCCATTCCAACTTGCACAGTCTGTTGTGAATACATGTTTTCTATGTGAATTCATGTTATGAAAATCCCCCCCAAACAAACAAACAAAAAAAAAACAATTGAAATTCTGATCTTTAGGTTTTTATCCAGACCATACTGATTTCCTAGGATATCTTAGTGATTTCAATTGGATTTGAATCAAGGTATTAAAGATGGGGAAAACTAAATTCGGATTTCTATCCAGGTCATACCTACTAACAGGAAAAATAGAACAAGTTGTCTAGCTGTTCACCAGAGTTTTTAATTGATTCATCGGTATTAGTATTTCCATTGCTATTGGTATGTCTCTAAGCCAAATTTAATTTCAATCTTTACAGCCAGTATATTATATATTTTAATGAATAAATGGAAAATTGATTTAGATTCGGTAAATTACCTGAAATTACCTAACTGAAAAAGAAGACTAAGCTGTCAGTGTAAGAAAGTTCAGGTATTGTTGCTGGAATCCGCTATGATGACATTAATACACGGAGGTTATGCAAGAATGTTGAAGCAGTCACGCCGAATAAGTCACAGCACATATAGATATAGGGGTACTGTTTA